ACACACATATGAGAATATATTTATATATAAGGAAATATAAAATATGAGAATATATATATATATTTTTAAAAATTCATATTAGTGGTCCGCGGGATTTAAAATGAGGAATTTTGTGGTCCATGAGGTCCGAAAGGTTGGCGGCCGCTGGTTTAGAGGACGTCTGATGGCAGAAATAAAAATGTAGGGAGGAATATTTCTGCATTGAAGGTGAATTTTGTAGCGAAAGGTAATCGTGTGTTTTTGTTTTCCCCTCCAGATCCGCAAGCTGAGAAGAGAGCTCGATGCCTCGCAGGAAAAGGTTTCGGCTCTGACAACCCAACTTAGTGCCAATGTAAGTTCAATAAAATGGGGGCTAAAGGAATGATTTGCATGGCTCCGCCCTCTTGTTTTTGGAATGAGACGTGTGAATACTTCCTATGCTCCGTCCATCCAAAAAACACAACGCGAGGATGAGGACTTGTATCGGGATTGTAGATTACAGAGTACACAATGAGAGGAGAACACGTGGGTCGTTGGGGCGCTCAGGGATGAGATCATGTGACCCGTGTTGTTTCTTTCTCGCCGTGTTGCGTGTTTTGTTATGTTAGGAGCACAATGGAGAGGACACACATCCTGCCCCCCCCCCCCATTGTCGGGGGTTCGCTGCGCTCCAGTGATCGTGTTTTGGGTTCATACAAGCCCAGCGACGTTCCTGAGCAGTGAAGATGTGTTTGTGTCTCGGCCGTTTCCTCTCGGGTATTTCTGGTGTATATATAGAAACAGCGGCGGGGGCGACGTACAAGGGGGCGCGGCCTCGCGTCATTGTCCAGCGCAGGTGTCTCGTGCTATATATAGGGGATGAAACAGACGCTTCAGTCATCGCACGTCACTGATCTGCAAACTCATCAAAAGCCTCCGCGTGTAACTGATGTATAGAAAAGAGACGCCGTTATCAAACGAATACAAAATGTAACGATATCCGGCCTCCCCTTCAGTCTTCTATCTGACCTCCGTCCTCCCCTTCAGTCTTCTATCTGACCTCCGTCCCCCCCTTCAGTCTTCTATCTGACCTCCGTCCCCCCCTTCAGTCTTCTATCTGACCTCCGTCCCCCCCTTCAGTCTTCTATCTGACCTCCGTCCCCCCCTTCAGTCTTCTATCTGACCTCCGTCCCCCCCTTCAGTCTTCTATCTGACCTCCGTCCCCCCCTTCAGTCTTCTATCTGACCTCCGTCCCCCCCTTCAGTCTTCTATCTGACCTCCGTCCCCCCCTTCAGTCTTCTATCTGACCTCCGTCCCCCCCTTCAGTCTTCTATCTGACCTCCGTCCCCCCCTTCAGTCTTCTATCTGACCTCCGTCCCCCCCTTCAGTCTTCTATCTGACCTCCGTCCCCCCCTTCAGTCTTCTATCTGACCTCCGTCCCCCCCTTCAGTCTTCTATCTGACCTCCGTCCCCCCCTTCAGTCTTCTATCTGACCTCCGTCCCCCCCTTCAGTCTTCTATCTGACCTCCGTCCCCCCCTTCAGTCTTCTATCTGACCTCCGTCCCCCCCTTCAGTCTTCTATCTGACCTCCGTCCCCCCCTTCAGTCTTCTATCTGACCTCCGTCCCCCCCTTCAGTCTTCTATCTGACCTCCGTCCCCCCCTTCAGTCTTCTATCTGACCTCCGTCCCCCCCTTCAGTCTTCTATCTGACCTCCGTCCCCCCCTTCAGTCTTCTATCTGACCTCCGTCCCCCCCTTCAGTCTTCTATCTGACCTCCGTCCCCCCCTTCAGTCTTCTATCTGACCTCCGTCCCCCCCTTCAGTCTTCTATCTGACCTCCGTCCCCCCCTTCAGTCTTCTATCTGACCTCCGTCCCCCCCTTCAGTCTTCTATCTGACCTCCGTCCCCCCCTTCAGTCTTCTATCTGACCTCCGTCCCCCCCTTCAGTCTTCTATCTGACCTCCGTCCCCCCCTTCAGTCTTCTATCTGACCTCCGTCCCCCCCTTCAGTCTTCTATCTGACCTCCGTCCCCCCCTTCAGTCTTCTATCTGACCTCCGTCCCCCCCTTCAGTCTTCTATCTGACCTCCGTCCCCCCCTTCAGTCTTCTATCTGCCCTCCGTCCTTCCCTTCAGTCTTGCACAGTTGTACCGGCTCCTCTTCCTCTGATGTCACTGCAGACTGGGAGCTCCTGAACCCCGGCCCTTTAATTCATTGGATTTCAGTTCTGTCTATCATGGAGGCTCAGCATCACGTGTGGGCATTGCCTATGCAAATACACCCTGCCTAGGAACGCCCACTCCTCCAGACTGACACCCACCTATCAGGCTATTTTGATATTCGCGTAACTCCTCCCAAGAGCCGGCCCACTTGTTATACCAGGCCCAGGGGTCTTGAGAGGAGTGCTGAGGGAGGGGGCTGTGATGCTTTCGGGAAGCTGCGTACAGCAGCACTTCGGAGAGGTGATTTGATCTGAATATCAGGAGATCGGTATAGATT